ACTGACCACCTATAGGCACAACCTCTATTTGTTCTGGGTGCAAGTATCTCTTACTGGTTCCATGACAGAAATTTCTTACTTTTTGAATGCTGCTGAGGGTCTTTTCCTTCATACACACTATTTGTATTTTGTCGTTGTACTATTATGATTTTGTCCTTACCTCCTTAATGTCATTTTGTTTGACATTGTTTTCTGTTGGGTCACCCAGCTGTGAAACCCAGGAGGAGTGGGTGCATAATGATAAGAACTGATACAAGGAGATATGGGGAATACAGGGTTGGGGTAGGCAACAGGGAAGAAAAGAGGATCTCCGGAGTAAATAATCAAAGATGGAGGCTGGAGGGAGCACTAGACTGGATTGTGATTGCATAGCTCATTTTAAAGGTGGTGCAACCATGTAACCATGGGGGTGGGGAGGAATAGTCTAAAAGTGATGTGGTAATAATTGTTCAATTCTCCTTGATTGATTGGATGATTGAACTATTGAATTGTATGAAATGTAAAATACATGCCAATAAAACTGTTGGGGTAAAAAACAAAACAAAATAATAATAAAAGAAGTCTCTAAAAAAGAAAAGAAGAAGTAAAAGCAGCAGCAGCAGCAGCAGCCATGTTTTTGATTTTAAAAACAGGGCAAGATTTTAAAAATACCACTGTATGCTAATGGGAACATAATAAATCCTGATAGGATAAAAGAGAAACTTCCTCTGACCTGCTGCTTCCAACTCTGCCATTGCCCAAGAAGGTGAAAATTCTTGTTGGCATTAGTCTTTGTGGCTCTTGCCAAGTGTAAAAATGGAGGGGGCACTGGATCTCCTCTAAGTTCATGAGGTGGGATTGGGAATAAACATGAGCATCAGCCCAAGGCTGATTCTTGTGAAGCAGGAGTCAGATGTAGCTCTTGTCACCAATCTTCTACCAACTCTGACACCAGACATTCTTCTCCGCTGCACTCAAAAATTCATTGCAATGGTCACACAGAACCCACAGACAAGTAAGATGATGGATTTTATCAGAGAAGTCCCAGATTACAATTCAGGATTAAGAACAACTCAGGATGCAGTTGTTTGGTCAGAACAACTTCTCAGGCATGCTCATTGGCAGGCCTCTCATTCAGTCCCTGGGCCCCTCAGGCTGGCCTCTGCCTTGCAAGGGCAAGTGTTATAAAGCTGTTTAGCTCTTCAATGCATTTACAGGCCCCCTATTCCACCAAGAAGCCTTCTGCCTGAAGGCACTCAGCTATCTTATTCCACGGTTTGCTGCATCTGCTGTAACCACCTTGCTCCATGGGCTGGGAACCCTGTCACACTAGCTCATACAGGCATCCTGGTCCTACCGTCACCATTTCTCTGCTTCTTACCATCTGACACCATATCTGGTGTTACAGCTTCCTCTCTGTATTTCCTAGGAGCCTTGGTCCAAAGGATGCACTGTACTCCTGTCTCTCCCTCCTGGACATAGCGAGGTCCCTACTTCCTGCCTCTGGGATGGCTCATTGTAAACTCAGATGAATCAATCCCCTTATTAGGGTTCCATGCACCTTCCCTGCATGGTCCTACCCCCACAAGGGTGCCACGTACCATATTTACATTATTAGCAAGTTGTTCAAACCCATTGGTGGGTGGTATACACCTTGCTTGCACAGTTTTACCTAATCATGTGGTAGGAGTTACAAGACCATGGAGAGAAAGGCCATGTCAAAGCCAGCCACTGTACTAACGTGTCTCAAGACTTCTCTCAGGGGGCACAAGAGTCCTTTCTAAGTGACAGGTTTAAACGCTTGCGTCTAATTCATTTCTATTTCTAACGCAAAGTGGTTTCAAAATTCTCCACATTTCTAAAATTTATGTAAAATTCCACCTTTCAAAAGCCAAGAGAATGTTCTGAATGAGGTTCTTATTTTGGTTCACCTAAATTTGACAATATTTATTTCCAAACACACACTGAAAATGAGGACTTTGTACATTATCTTCTTTGATTAGCATTAAATTCCTAGGATGAACTTGTAGTAGACTATCGGATCAACTTTCCTACACCATGCCTCCTCCCTCACTCACCCGGGGAAAAGAAGTGGAGCTGGGGCCAGAGGCCTGACTCCAGGTGTGGGCTGAGTTAGACAAGCAACACAGTTCTGCCCTTAGTGGCTGAAGGAGATAGTCACCCAGAGAGAGAGGAGCTGGAAGTCACTTGTTCTTCCCAGTGGAAGTGGAAAATGGATCTTAGGGTTATCGTGGCCAATGATAGTCAAAAAGGCCACTGGAGGCAGGGGGAGGTGAGGGAACAGCCAAATGGAGAGTTAGAAAGTTCCCAGTGCCTGCTGATACTGTGGACTGCTAATCCATCCAGTGCTGAAACCTGCCCTACTCTGAACTTCCTGTTCCACGAGATGCTGAGTAGCATCATTATTAAAGTCTGTCCCAAACAGTGTGGCTGAAATAGGATATATGGTGAGGATAAGAGAAAGGGGGCACCAGAAATCCCTTAGGTCTCATTTGTTCATCTATTCACAGTCACCTGACAGAGGTGGCGTCAGACTGCAGGGCCTCACCAGCCACACAGACCTTCCTCCACTGCACATGGGATCTTTGTGACCAGCAGCCCTGCTTACTCTTGCAGCCAGCAGCCACCTGCTGACTGGACAAACAGGTTATGCCCAATGAGATACCCCAAATGCCTGCAAACTTAAGGTTGCTGAATTAGCCATTATATTGATGACGCCAGAACTCAGCCTTTCACTCTGCCACCAGGGTTCAAAGTTATGGCAGTTTCTGGCAAAATGGAAAGTAAGGAGATATTTTACAGTCAGTAGGAATTGATAACTGGGTGGAACATGAGGAATGATGGAAAAGAAGATGTCAAGATGACAGATTTCTGACTTGAGGACAGGGAAGAATGAAGCATAGGAAAATCATGTCCTATGGGATCCAGTCCCAAACCACTGATCCAAAGTCAACCTGATTTCCTAGCAATACTTGCTTCTCTCAAGAGCATCTGGAGAAAAGGGGTGTTTTAGACATTGCAGAATATATATATTAAAATTATATTCACTCCTTACCAAGTATATGACTTAGTAGCCCAAGGTTTGATTGTAAGTTTACTTATGATTTCTCTTTCCGCTAGCTCGCTCGCTCGCTCGCTCACTCCCATTACCTCGATTCCAACTTACAACGACCCTGGGCAGGGTTTCTGCGGCTGCAAATCTTCACAAGGAGCACACAGCCTCATCTTCCTCTGACAGAAGGGCTGGTAGGTTTGAACCGCTAACCTCCAATTTAACAACACTTACCCGATAGCTTATCAGGGATCTTCTCTTCCGGTTCCAAAAAAGCCAAACTCACTGCCATCGAGTTGATGCCGACTCATAACGGCCCTAGAAGACACGGTAGACCTGCCCTTGAGTTTCGAGATTATAACTCTTTACAGGGGTATAAGTGCCCTGTCTTCCTCTCCAGGAGCAGCTGGTGGTCTGCAATTGCTGACCTTGAAGTTACCAGACCAGCGTGTAAGCACTATGCCACTATGCTTCTGCTCCCAAAAACCAAACTCACTGCCATCGACCACACCCTGTGGGTTTATGTGAGCAGACTTTGTACTGCCAAGCTGCTGGTGGCTTCGAACTGCCAACCATGAGGATCACAAACCAACGCATACCCACTACATCATCCGGATGCCTAGGCCTCTGCCACTAAATACAAATGCACAGTAGTCTGCTTGGCTAACATTCCAATTAAAGAAAGCAGCGAGGTCTGACATGCCCATTTCTCAGGGGGTACTTACTATTGG